GCAAAGTATGTCATATACCTCAGGAAAAATCTGTACAAATTCCAATATTTATTTCTTGGAAGACTAAAATGAGACAATGACGTAAAGGCAGGCGTTGTTGGGTTTTTTGTTTTTTTTTCCCCATTGGAGATGTGTTTTAAACAACTGAAAACAAGTTTGAGCAGAGATTTATTCAGAGTAGAATCAATTTGAGAAAAATCCCAACCAAGTCACAGATCCTAGCAAAACCATAGCATTCTTCACTAAAATGCAGGAGAGAAAAAAACAGCCAACTGATAAATTTAAGGTAGCACCAGCTAATATGCTAAGGAGCAAATAACTGGAAAATTCCATCAGTTCTTAAAAATGATGTCAAGAAACTGTGAATATGGAGTTTAAGGGCAAATTTGAAGGATGGTGAAAATAATAGCCTCTGGTCTATTGCAGAGAGAAAAAGGAAAAGAAGTCTTTAATTTTTCTGTCTTTGCAATCTACAGTCCTGTTTGCTATTTAGAATTCCTACGATGTAATTCTTGTTTCTTTTTGCTTCCAAGGTAGAAGGAATTTTCCCATGTCTTCTTTTGACATGGTAGTCATCTTAGGTTTGTCATATTCCACAGCAATATAATATTTAGAATGAGGATGTGCTAGGAGTGCCTAGGTGGCTTAGGATTCTCTCTCCCCCACCCCCCTCCCCAGTAAATAAAAATGAGAATTAGAGAAAAATGATATGTCAATGAGTAAAAACTATCACTCTCTCATCCACTTCGAGGAGATTCAGGACCTCCTCCCATGATTAGCAAAACAAAGGGAAAAGTCCGAGAGTGTTGTCTAGCTAGATAAAGGATCAAAGAGGCTAATTTAAAGATCTGAGAATTCTGGGGGAAAAAATGATGATTTATGTTTTCATGTTAAGCTAGTTAGCAAGCCAATAGGGATGGAGATAATATAGGACATTCTGTTTCTCCACTCTTAAATGAAAAATGGATAGGCTATGTATGTGTATCTAAAAAAGTCTTCATTTTAAATTAGGACATTAAGAATTTTTAGCATTTTATTAAGAATTAATGCTGTTCAATAATTTTAACAATGAAAAAAACTCGACCAAAATGTTAAAATATCTTAGATCATTTCTGTCATTTTCATTTAGTTGAAACCTCAGCTTTGCTAACTGCAAGAAATGCCCTAATCTGGTTTTCGAAGACTGGTGATTTTAGTCTCAGTGTTTATCCTAAACACTCAAAAAGTAAACAACACAATGAGAATACTATTCACATGTAACCGATAACGAATTTTCACATCTCTAATAAATCAAAAAGGAAAAAAATAGGAAAATGATAGAGATTGGTAATTCAAAGAAGATGGCCAATAAACATGGAGATGCCCAGCTTTATTTAAAGATTTTATTTATTTATTTGAGAGAGAAGAGGGGAGGGGCAGAGGGAGGGGGCAAAAGGGGAGGAGTAGAGGGGGAGGGAGAGGGACAAGCAGACTTGACACCGAGCCAGGAGCTAATGAGGGGCTGGACCCAAGATCATGTCCAAAACTGAAACCAAGAGTTGGGCGCTTAACTGACTGAGCCACCCAGGCACCCCAAGATGCTCAGCTTTATTAATGGTCAGAGAAACACACGCTAAGCAGGCCGGGGATGAGACTGGGGTATCCACAGGTGATTCTGCTCAGCAATCCTGGCTGAGAACAGTGACGGGACATCTGAACTATGCCAATTTTGGGAGAAAATCTGACTTGGGATTTTAGATGTTCAATTATTTATGCATTTTCTCTCTGCAAATCTATAATTCAATGTCTTTTGGAGAATGGCAATGAAAAGATGGATTAATGCTTTTGGTGTCCAAGATTTTTCCCCCTCCTTATACCTTTTAGTAAAATGTCACTAAAATAAGACATATTTTAGAATGCGTGTGTGTGTGATCATCAAAACAAGAATAGTCCCAAATCATATTTCACACACATATTTATGGCATTTGGGTTTTTTTTTAAATATTGGACTGATTTGATTTCTAAAAGCATCCATTATATTTTATCATTTTACATAAATTTTTGAAAAATTCTTCATTTAAACTAAAGTCACACCAGACTCTGAAATTTAGGAAATTTGAAACCCTGCTTTAATCAGGCTCTTAGAATTGCCAAGGATCCTTAGAATCCTCTAGTCCTATGTCTCCTCAATTGCTTATAACCTTTAGACAAATACCCTAAGTCCCTGGGCAGTCTTGGGGTGAACATTTCTGGTAGGACAATTATCTCCTTCTGAGGCAGCCCATTCTTTAGATAACATTGACTCCCACTGATGCAACTTGACCTGGATGTCTTCTTTGGCTTCCATCCTAATGACTTCTACTCTGACCTTGTGGAGCCTTTCAGAATGGTTGTCCTATTATTTTAAAATGGTCGATATGTCCTTTTTCATTCTGGCTGCTATCTGTAGCTTGCCCTACTTCCATGCCTCTTTTATTATTCTATCCTCTAATTCTGAGCATGTCCTCGAGCTTGGGACGACGGAGAGAGGAGAAAGCTAGCACGTCCCCTTTCTCTCTCCTTTCTCTCTCTCTCTTTTTTTTTTAGAGAGAGAGCATGTGTCCAGGGGTTGGGGAGCAGAGGGAGAGGGAGAGAGAATCTTTAAGGTGTGGAACCTGACTCAGAGCTTGATCTGATGACCCTGAGATCATGACCTGAGCTGAAATCAAGAGTCAGGACATTTAACCAACTGAGAAACCCAGGCACCCCTCTAATTCTCCTTTTAAACTAGTGTGATGTTTTTTTGATCCTTTTTCTCCCAAGTAGTTAATTATTTCTGTAATGACTTTTATAAAGTGAATTCTAATATTTTTTTCAAATGTATTGAGTTTTTAACTATGTACCAGGAATGTGTACATAGAGATAAACAAGACCTGCCTTGCTTCTAAGCTCAGAAAGCTGGTAGAGGATATAGGTGCTATAGTCCATGGAATAATGACCCCAACTGTGCCTTTTCACTGATTCCCAGAACCTGTGAATATTACCTTATATAACAAAGGGGACTTCGTAGATGTGGTTAAGGTTAAGGACCTTGAGAAGGGGAAAAAAATCTTGGGTCATCCAGGTGGAACTAGTCTAATCACATGAGTCCTTAAAAGCAGAGAACCTTTCCCGGCTGTACTTAGAGAGTTTTCTCTACTGCTACTGCTGGCTTTGAAAACAGAGGAAGGGGCCACTAGCCAAGGATTATGGGCAGCCTCGAGAAATTGGAAAAGGTAAGGAAACAGATTCTTCCCTAGATCCTCCAGAAGAAACACAGCCCCACTGACACCATGATTTTTAGCCCAGTGAGACCCACATTGGGCTTCTAACTTACAGAACTATAGGATAATATATAAGCATCATATATAATGATGCTTATACAGCCATATGTGTGGTAATTTGTTAGAGCAGCAAAAGCAAATTAATGCAGGTGCTCTCACTAAGTGCAAGGCAGCTCAGACTGTGGTCAGGGTAGAATGGAGGTATAAGCAAGGGCTTTGGGCACTCAGTATTGAGCATAGCCCAACTGAGAAAGAGTACAGAAGAGACCTGCAAGTTGTCCTTGAAGTATTAGGAGTCAGTCAGTCATGGAAGGAGAAAAAGACATTTCAGACAATGGGATAAACACCCAAGTCAACACTGCAACATGTTTGCATATCAGTTTTCTATCTGGGTGAATTTGTGAAGAGCTTGGAAAAGGAATATAAATACTTCTGTTTCTGGCAAAATAGCAGGCTGGATATTCTGAAGGGTCTTTCTACTTTCCAACACCCATATGGTGACTAATACGTGCCTTTTAATGAATTGCTGAGCTTCCAGGAAATACAAAAATACCCAAAGCCCTCCATCCTACCACAAATAAATATGATAATGACCATCCATGTAGCTCAGACCACTTTCATGCTGAGGACGGTTAAAAAAAGATGAAGAAAAAACAACCACCTAGAAATTACCACAGTGTTAATAAGATCATAAGAAACTACCATGCATGCAGATGGAAATCCAGCGACATACACCTAGGACCCAGAGCAGTTTCTTCTGTCCTGCGGGAGTTCCCTACCAAGAAAGGGGGCTTAAGAGGCTGGGCAGCAGAAACAAGAAAAAAAAAAGTGCTAGCCCCAGGAGAAAAGATGGGTAAATTTGCATTAAAATTGAGAACTTCTGCTCATTTAAGCAAAAAAAAAAAAGTAAGGTAAAAAGACAAACCCCAGAGATACAAGGACACAAATAATAAAGAATTCAATTTCAGAAATCTATACGGAACTCCAGAAATTCAGTATGAAAAAGACAAACAATCCAGTAGGAAAATCTTCTCCAAATATCAACAGACATTTCACAGAAGCCTCAGCACAGATAGTAGACAAATATGATAAGATGTCACCAGAGAAGGTCAGTTTAAAATAAGATACCATTTTCACCCACTATTAGCAAAATGAAGAAGTCTGACAATACGAAGTGTTGACAAGAATATCAAACAATGGAAACTTACACACGACTGGTGGAACTTTGTAATGAATTGGTTCAAACAGTCTGGGAAAAAAATTGGTATAATATACTAGCTTTGAACGTTTATATGGCCCGCAACCCTACAATTCCACTTTAGGGTATATATCCTGGAAAAACACTGGTACACATGCACCCAAAACTGCTTAAGAGCATTCATAGCAACACTGATGGATCAGAGGGAGAAAATTAAATAGAAACAATTTAAATGATAGACAAGGCAACGGTTAAATATGTTGTGATATATTCACACAAATATACAACTTTGAAAGTAAATGGACATGTAAGAATTATAATGTAATGACACACCAAGTTGCAAAGAATTACATATTATGAAACAAATTTTCTAAAGTTCAAAAAAGCTAAATAATAAGTTGAATTATAATGTAATGACACACCAAGTTGCAAAGAATTACATATTATGAAACAAATTTTCTAAAGTTCAAAAAAAACTAAATAATAAGTTATTTAGGAATACATTTAGATATGGTAGAACATACGGATTAATTATAACATTGATAATAGCAAGTTGCAGAAGATGAAAATAGGACTCCATTTTTATAAAGCTCGAAAATAAGCAAGGCTATGTATTGTGTAAAGCTACATAGATATATATGTGATTTTACATGTAAAATTACATATAAAAACCCAATAGCAAAGTAAAATGGTAAACACAAAATTCAAGATGGGTTATCCCTGGCAGGAAACAGGGGGCTGGGATTGGAGAAGTCCACACAGGAAACTTCAACAGAATTGATTGTGTTTGGTGAATTGTCAGTATGATATGTTCACTTGTGTTTATCTTATCATCATTTCTGGTAGCTTACAGGTATATTGCATATATTCTTTTGTGGTACCAAATATTGCCTAACAAAATTTTAATTAAACCATACAAAATTGTTTTTGTTCAGATGGTTGTTGCTCCAGCTCCCTCTTCCTCGAGTGCCCTGTTTTATGCTGCCAAACTTGAATGAGGGTCATAGGCCTGAAAGAAAAAAAAAGTGTGTTGAAGATGATATATACAAATGCTGTCTGAGCACAGTTCAGAACTAATGATCTTCCTAGGCGGATGTCGCAAAATTATCATAAAGTGACGGAGCCAATTCTCTATTACTCTGTTGGATTGTATTTCAATATGGTGGCTCGTTTTTCAGTGGAAGTCTTGTCTTTAAAATACCCTGTTCAAGAGTGGATGTGGGCTGCAAGGAGCCCCCTACAATTGAAAGTCCCACTTACATATTTTAAAGGAAGGGTGGAAAGAATTCATTTGTTTAAATTATGAATTTTGTCTCAAATACAGAGTTTAAACACACAACAAAGCCCTTGTTAGCAAACATGTTGGACTGGGGAGTGACAATTGTTAGAAAATTTGAGTTAAGTAATTTTCATTCAGATTGGTTTCTCAATCACTTTCAGAGCTAGCAAGGCGAAAATCTAACTCCCCTCAGCACCTCACTCCTATTCTGGTGCCTCTCATCTCCCAGAATCACCATCTTTCTGGGTTTCCCCCAAATAGGATGTCTTTCTTATCTCGCCACCTGCTATGCACAGACATGCTCCCCCCCCCATCCCTTCTAATTCCCCAAATCCAGTCCTTCCCTACCATCTCCCTTTTGCTGCAGGCAGGGCTGTAAGGGGGTTGGGGACTGAGGCCAGTGAGAGGGACTGGGGGTTGGGACAGGACAGGAGTTTAATCCAACGTAATGCGTAGAGTAAGAATTAATGTCGATCAGAAGCACATTGCAAGCTGTGATGTAGCTAGAGCCTGTGCTTTGAGGTTACATATCCCTGACTCAAACCCACTTTTCAGTTGGGTAACTGTTCAGGAGTCCCTGAACTTCTCAGAGCCTCCGCTTCTTCGCCAATAGCAATAGTTAATACCTACATCCTAGGGTGGTTATAAGGATTCACCTATGTTTATAAATTATAAGTACTCAGTATATACTCAAATATGGTGTTTTATTTGTATTGGGTGAATATGTTGAAATTATAGAGGTTCTTTCTAGGTTTGCTGATAGAGATGCAGCCTTGACTCACTAGGGGTTGATTCACTTACTCATCCTTGAACGCAGATTTCTTGACATTCGTGTTCACTGTTGAATCTATTTCCTGAGCCATTACAGCCGCTGAACCAAAAGCGGGCACAGGAGTTGACCTGTTTGTCATAATACCATCGAACCACGTATTCGCCACAGTTTCCTGGCTTTAGGGCTTCCAAGCATCTAGGATCTAGAGTGAGAAAAGGAAAATGTGTTATTATAGGTTTTGCTTTCCCTGAAAACATGAAAAGTAAGAGCTTTACAAAGTTTATTCTCCATGTACCCTAACATGCCAACTACGAAAATTTGGTTCCAAGGTAAAGAAGGGTTCCCTGGTACCTAAAATACTTCCTCCACTACCTGCAACTCCACCATTAGATACGCCTTTGAAAACATAAAAGTTTTTGATCTTCATGAAACCTTATTAAAAGGGCTTATTTCCCAGAAAGTATAGCACTGTGAGCCCTCATTGGCTAATGCCCTTGTGGGGATTAGTTGACAAGGGAAAAATAGGACTTCATCATTTACTTTGGACTTGATTTAAAATCAGATTAACATTGGAATAAAGATGATCTCAGCCTTCTGTACACATTTCTTCCCAGTGTGTTCCTAGAAAGTGCCACTGTGATCACATGTAATTGTGCCTACTAAAAAAGGAAAATCCTTTTAAGTTACCAAAAAATAAATAAATAAAATAAAATGAAGGGCTCTCTTTATATCACAATTTTCTTTTAAAAAGAGCAGTTCCTGCGGCGCCTGAGTGACTCAGTTGGTTAAGGGTCCAATTCTTGGTTTCGGCTCAGGTCCTGATCTCAGGGTCGTGAGATGGAGCCCCATTGTGGGGCTCTGCGCTCAGCAGGAAGCCTGCTTAAGATTCTCCCTCTCCCTCTGCCCCCCTCCGCGCGCGCTCTCTCTCTCTCTCTAAAAAAAAAAAAATAATAATAATCTTTAAAAAGAGCAGTTCTTGCAGGACAATAAAAACATGAGCTTTTAATGTCCATTTATGAATAAATTTTAGAAACACTTCCACTGTAGGGCGCCTGGGTGGCTCAGATTGTTAAGCGTCTGCCTTCGGCTCAGGTCATGACCCCAGGGTCCTGGGATCGAGTTCCGCATCAGACTCCCTGCTCCTTGGGAGCCTGCTTCTCCCTCTGCTTCTCTCTCTCTCTCTCTCTTTCTCCCTCTGTCTCTCATGAATAAATAAATAAAATATATATATATATAAAAGAAACACTTCCACTGTAAAGAAAAAAAAAGACAAAGGAGAACTACCATAATAAAGCCATTCATTTAGTCCCTTTTTATTTTGTGGTTCTCCTTAGTGCCTTGATTAGTATTCCTTACCTGAAGAAGTGATTCCAAGGTGAGAAAAGCCACAACCAAACAGGTACTTGCTGCCTGAGACTTGTGTTCTGTGAGACAGTTTATATGCCACAAGCTTCATTTCTCAAACGAAACAAGCCTTCTCTCCATCTCCCAGAATCATTTCCCCAGATAGGGAGCATGTCTCGATTCCTTTTTTCCTGAAACTAACCTCCAAATCTACCTCTTCTCTGAGGACTCCTTAGACCAACTGGAAAGGAGTAGTAGACTTTCACTATCTCCACTCTTAAAACAATAAGTAAATATTGTATATTGTGTAACTTGTCAAGCCAATCTCAGAGCTTCTTTTTGGCAAGGATCTTGTCTCTCTGGCATGTCCTTCAGAAACTCTGTATATAATGATTGATTTCTATAGATAGTAACTCCATAGAAAATATGTTGAGGAGGAGGAATCTAGATTCTTGCTTTTTTCTCCTCTACAATCTAAGGGTCAAAAATTCAAATGTCTACATGTGTCAAGGTCACATATAAGACAATAGGGAGTGGTAGGGGCTATGGGAAAATGAGAACACAGTCTTCTCTAAAGGCATTTACATTTTAAAAAGCAATAAACATTATAAGAACCTTAAAATTTTTTATGGACCAAATTTGTTCTATAGCCAGTTTTCTAATTTGACATATAATAGTGAAAAGTGTCTTTTGTCTTCCCTGTTTAGGGTCAAAACATGTTCTTTTTTTTTTTTTTTTAGATTTATTTATTTATTTATTTGACAGAGAGAGACACAGCGAGAGAGGGAACACAAGCAGGGGGAGTGGGAGAGGGAGAAGCAGGCTTCCCGCGGAGCAGGGAGCCTGATGCGGGGCTCGATCCCAGGACCCTGGGATCATGACCTGAACTGAAGGCAGATGCTTAATGACTGAGCCACCCAGGCGCCCCCAAAACCTGTTCTTTCTGAATGAGATTTTAGAGCCCACCCTTTCTGTGCTTTGACATTGTAGACGCAGCAGCTGATTGGCAGGTGTCTCCTACCTTTGTGCACCAGCTTTTCTGGCTGTAAGTCCATAACGGGACTTGGAATTCTGGTTTCCAGACCCTCTGCCCCATCCTCAGGGTGGCCAAGCAATGGCCCCTCCGTGGTAGCAGCCTCAGGTGAAGGACTGGTGGTCAGGTGGTCAGCCCAGCTAGGCTCTGGAGGCTCATTCTCTTTGTCCTGGGCTCCAGTGACACTGACCTACACAAAACACTCACATTTTTGTTTCTGGTGATATCAAGTCAGAAAAGCTAGTTTGCTTTGGGAAACATTTAAGGAAAAATTCAGCATTGCTTCTTCTCCCCAACTCTCCAGTATTATTTCAATCAAAGCTCAAGAAATGATGCCCCTCTTCTATGTCATGCATCCCCGAGTACCTAAGTTATGGACTTTCCCACTGCCAGGCATGGATGCTTTTGTGCTGGGCCTTCCAGAAAGATCCACATGCGGGGCAGGAAAGGTGTGAGCTTAGGAGGAGTTAATCTTCATTCTTTTCATGGTCACTGGCTTGAGGAGGGGAAATAACCACGAGTTTCTTTGAACTTTTTTTAAAATAGCCTTTTCCTCTCCATTTCTTAACACTAGAGAAATTAACAATATATTCTAAAATATCTACAACAAACTCTCAGTCGATTTTGAGATTGGGAATGGGGGTGGCAGAGGACAATAAGACAGCTGAAATAAAAATAGTAGCAATCACTTTTCATCTCATCCTATTATCTGGACCCCAGCAAATGCCAATGGTGCAGGATGCTTAGCTTCTAAGAAGTTCTAGAAATGTTTGTTAGCTAATGAACAAAGGGATATAATTTCAAAAGCAAGTTTTCTGGACTCTCCATGTTTTATCTAAATTTATGATATGTAATGAGACAAGGAAGAAAAGGTATTTTGCTTCAGAAGAAAAAAAAGTCACGTCAGTTATCCTTGATTACCATTGCCAGGAGCAAGGTCAATCTTTTATGGGACCGATTAAGTTCTTTTACTTTTTTTCCCTTGGATCCCAGCTACAGGGAATTGAATCAGTCATTTAACTTGGTTTTGGCACAGGATGGTCATTTATCCTTTCAGGCCCTCTTTTTTGTTTTTCTTTTTGTTTATTTATTGAAACAGGCAAATGTGTGAGCTAAGTAAAGTCATTTTTGATGCTTCTTACCTGTAGTTCCTATCATCCTGTGACCAGAGCCAGCGGTCATCATTAGCAGCTCTCCGCTGTCTCAGCTGTTCTACTTTGATTCTGTGTACACACACACACACACACACACACACAGAAACACACACACAAACACACGGAAACACACACACACACAAACACACACGCACATACAAACATATACACGCACATACACACACAAACACGCACATACAAACACACATAAACACACACACATACACACAAACACACACACATACACAAACACACACACACAGGGAATAGCTAATCAATTCTGTTACTTTTGTGTGTATATTTTTACAGTGATTAAAGGACTACCAGTTAATGTAAACATTTCCATTGGGACTAGCCTGGTCATCAGCCTGATAGAAAAGGCACTCAATTCAAATACAATCATGACTTTTCACTAGCCCCAAAACACAACATTTGGGACAAATGGAGGTAAAACTGTGGGCCACTTGGCATTCATCTGTCTTTGAGAATGATCTTGTGTGTACATACATCGATTTGAATGGGAGCTTCTGTTATCATCATTGAACTAAAGTTTAAGGCTAAAGGAAAATTTTGTGAGTACTTCATTTCCTATAGGGGAATCTAAAGCTCCAAATGATTAAAGAAAGAACTTCCCCCAAATCATTGGCAAGCTAGTCATAAAATTTGAGAAATGCCTGTTTTAAGAAAGACCGTTTTTTGGTTTTGCTTTGTTTGCACATATTTTGTTAAGGAAAAAATAAGTTAAAAGCCCGACCAAAGAGTAGTTTATCAAAGATAAAAAAGCCAACAGCTATTAGGTTACACTTCAGATATCCTATCTGTCAGATGAGAAAATTCCTTTGAAGAAGTGCACCGGACAGCAGTTTTCTTCAAGGAATAAACTTGGCCTTTAAATCATTACCTTGTTCAAGCCTTAAGGCCTCATAAGTTATTCTTGACCTCTTGTAAGTTTAGGAGTGTGTGTTTTCTTCCTCAATCACCACATCATTCGAGAATTTTTTTTAAAGATTTAGTTGTTTATTTATTTGACAGAGAGAGAGAACACAAGCAGGCAGAGTAGCAGCAATTGGGAGAAGCAGGCTCCCCACCAAACAAGGAGCCCGATGAGGGGCTCTATCCCAGGACCCTGGGATCATGACCCGAGCCGAAGGCATCTGCCCAACCGAGTCACCCAGGTGTCTCTCATTTGAGAATTTTGACTACTATTGCTACCTCAGGTTCTAGAATAAGTGAAAATAATTTTTTTTTTCATAAATGAGAATAATTTTATCTTTTGGTTCCAGGAGATCTCAGATTATTTAAACAAATGCATAATTACCACAGTTTGCCATTTTTATAATTTTCTTGTTACAGAAACATTCATTGAAGGGAATTTAGAAAATCTGGACAAGCAACAAGAAGAAAATAAAAATCACAAGGGATTCCACCTCCCAGAAATAATCATTGTTGATATTCAGGTGTACTTTTACCTCAGTTTGTTTTCCTATGTGCATATTTTAAATGAAAAATATGCTGTAGTGTTGGGTTTTTATGTTTTTAAAAATTTAATATATTATGGTTCCATATATTTTACTGTGACCATAAAATACCATTTAATTACATGACTATATTTAAATACATAACAACAATACCCTTTTTTAAACATTTATTTGCTTTTTTTTTCCTGCTGGAAACCACGTGGCTGATCCCTGGATTAAGGAACACGCATATTCTTGGGACTCCTGGGTGGCTCAGTCAGTTAAGCATTTGCTTCAGCTCAGGTCATGATCCCAGGGTCCTGGGATCAAGTCCCACATCGGGCTCCCTGCTCAGCGGGGGGTCTGCTTCCCCCTGCCGCTCCCCCTGCTCATGCTCTCTCTCTCTCTGACAAATAAATAAATAAAATCTAAGAAAAAAAAAAAAAGAACACACACATTCGAGGCTTCTGAGACAAAGTCTTCTCCAGAAAAGTCTTACAATTTCCATTCTCACCAGTGAGTATATTTTCTTAAAGGATCGCCATTTACTAGCTATTATGATTGGAAAAAGGGATAATTACTAGTTTGATAGGTGAGAAATTCTTCAACTGCTGTACACAGCCCAACCACAACCTGTTTCCCACACACATGAACACCCTCGCCTGTCACTCCTCCCGGCACACCAAGCTACGACCTTTCATTCCTTCCTCTTCATTCAGCCGCAAGCCCTTAAAGTCAGCTGTCCCACCAGGGCCCAGGAAAAGTTGGTCCCCAGCAGCAAGACCTTGCCCAGTAACCCAGTCAGTCCTAATGCTTCCCTTCCGGTCAGTGCAGAGCACCTCCTAATGCTCCTCTTCTTGGCCCTGATCATAGAGAAGTTAGCCTTTACTCCGACACTATTTTCTATCATTTCCGATTTCACACGTGTAACTATCACCTCCCTGATAAAAGAAGCTAAACCATGCCACGTTTTCTTCATTTTCATCTCTTGCCTCCCCCTCACCACTTTTTTCTTTCCTTTTTGTCTTCTTTTTAAAAATCTTTAAACACTAGGAGAAGGAACGGAAAAATGAGAGGGGGTGGAATTGGAGGGAGAGACGAACCATGAGAGACGATGGACTCTGAGAAACAGACTGAGGGTTCTAGAGGGGAGGGGGTGGGGGGATGGGTTAGCCCGGTGACGGGTATTAAGGAGGGCACGTTCTGCGTGGAGCACTGGGTGTTATACGAAAACAATGGATCCTGGATCACCACATCAAAAACTAATGATGTATGGTGACTAACATAATAAAATTAACAAAAAAAAAATCTTTATAGCATAGAACAGCAAATAGTAGCCACTGGAAAAATTCAGAATGTGTTAGAGGGAGAGAGAAAGAGAGAGGGGACTTCGGATTAATTATTCCACTCCTTTAGGTTTTATATCATTGTTTTAAAATAAAAGATTAGACCCTGACATGACTTCTATCTCTAAAAGTGGGATTTAAGCCGCCCCAGACTTGCCTGGCAGAATGCACACCACAGTCATGACGGCTACTGGCTCTGCAGAGAGGAGCAGGATCAGACTGAAGGACACACAAGGAAGGACTTGAACTGTGTCTGAGCGAGAGTGCTGAACAAATGGGAACACTAGTCAGGCGGTGGGCACTCGGATGTTTGTTACATGTATTCTCTGATCTTTTTATAAATCTTAAACCTAAAAACAAAAGGCTGCTGAGAACTGTTAGGGACATCTGAAGTGTGGGCCGTGTGCCTCCCCTGATCGCCTGCAGCTGCCTGAGAGGGTGGACGACAGGATTTTATTCTGGTTAAAACCTCTCTTCCATTTAGTATAATGCCTTCCATTCTGGCCACTCTCAGTAAATGTTTCTGACTGTTCTTTCTAATCACATATTTTTACAAAAAGAAGAGTCTAGCAATAATTTCTTATTTTGCAAATGAGGGAACAGAAACCGCAAGAAATAGGTGATTCACCCAACGTCAGGCAGCTATCAAATTTCATTTCTAAGATGTCATTCACTGTGAGATACACTATAAATTTTTAAGATCTTCTTAAAAAGACCATAACACACTAAATGGATGCATCCCAATCTCTGAAATAATAAAATAAAAAATATTAAACTGGGGGGAAATGGGTGGCTCAGGCAGGTAAGCATCCGACTCTCGATTTGGGCTCAGGTCATGATATCGAGGTCATGAGATGAAGCCCCACATCCAGCTCTTTGCTGAGCGTGGAGCCTGCTTAGAATTCTCTCTCTCTCCCTCTCCTTCTGCTCCTCCCCCACCCCTTAAAATATATATATATTTCAGAGCCAAGGAAATAAAGTATTTAGCTTCAGGACTGAGAATACAAGCCAAGTTTCCTGACTTCTAGGTCCAGAATATTTCTTCTAGATCAACCTGCAGTGTTTTTTTTTTTCTCCTTCATAAGATAGAAGTATCTTATGTTCTAAGGGTAATAAATCTATTATTAGCAATATGTGATACTTATACAGCAACTTCACTAAGCAATACTAATATTAGTTGTTATGCAGCGTTTTATCAAGAATTTGAGGGTTTTTTGACCACCACAATGAGAG